ATCAATCTCTGAGAGTAACCTTAAAGGCAAGGGTCACACAGGGAAGGGGCTGGGGCCTACTGTCTGTCACTAAGCTTTGCCTTCAGGACATTTTGTGTGTGCAGGGCAAAGTGAAGACACTATGGAAGCCATAGGCAGTAATTAATGAGCAGGGTGCTTCAGGGAGGTGGGAGTCTGCCTTCCTCAGAGTATTAGTTAACAAATAAGAACCAATGTACACACGAGGAGGGCACAGAATATAGAAAGCCCTCCAAATGTGTCTAGCTCCGATTTTCATAATGGGAAAAGGAAAGGAGGCTTAATATCAATGTTTCTTTTCTGCATTAATTACCTCAGCATTTTCTTAATTTATGAAGCCTCTCAGTAGACAATGGGGTTGGAGAGAGTAATAACCATGTCATATCTCCTTGCCATTGATAACCTTCATCTTGTACACAACACAGCTCTTCAAGTGTTCAGTAACCAGAGGCAGAATACACAAAATGGAAAAGAGTAATTTTTATTATTTTATCTCGTGTATGGGTGTTTTATATATATGTCCATATATATAATATATACATATTACATATAAATTATATAAATATAATATGTATATTTGGATGGATCTGTGCATCATGTGCATGTACTGCCCAGTGCCCACGAAGGCCAGAAGAAGACATTAGATTGCCAAGAACTGGAGTTACAGGTGGTTATGATCTACAATGTTGGTGCTGAAAATTGAACCCAGGTCTTCTGGAAAATCAGCCCATGCCCTTAACCCATTAGCTAACCTTTCTAGACCCCAAAATGGAAAATTTGAAATTACACATAATTACTCAGGAGACTGAGGCAGGTGGATTGCTGTGAGTTTGACACCAGCCTAGTCTACATAGAGAGACCCTTTATTAAAAAAAAAAAAAAACAATAATAATAACTATGTTTATATATAAAAGACACTATACTGAGAAACTCCTATCACTCCGATCAGCTTAATCCCTCTCAGATAAAGAAAGGTTGGCCTCTGATTCATGAAAGCAAGGTCAAAAGTAGGCAAAGCAGCTAACTTCTAACATAGTGGTGGGAGAGGAGAGGCTCATGGTCCATACTATCATTTAGGTGTAGGTTGAACACACTGCCCAAGGATTAATTTTGTAGTAGCTTGATAAGTGGTAGAACGTTTAAAGGTAGGGACTAGAGTAAGGTGATTAATTCAATGCGATGTCACCTTCAAAACTGAGTTCCCCACAGGCCCTTTCAGTTCCCATCAGACCCTGGTCAGTTTTATTGTAATAATTGTAATAAAAAGAACGAGTCTGGTTCAGAATCCCTCCAGCTTTGTTCCTGCCACATGAACTCTGAACAGCTGGAGCTTGTGGCTTGGACAAGAGTGCCATACTGTTCAGATCTTCCAGCCATAAGATTCTCGGAGCAAAGAAGATGCTTCATAATTACCCACCTCAGGGATTTTGTTACAACAACATAAAACAGACTAAGACAGAGACAAGAGAAGCAGGAGGCCAGTGGATGCATTAATGTCTTCATCATTCATAGCAGAGCCAATCAATCCTGTCTCAAAATGAAATATAATGGTCAAATCTCTTGAAGGATTTTACATAATCTTATTTCTTAACCTTACAAGGATCCTGAAGAAAGCACTTACTGAAGTGAGAAAAAAAGTTATTTGAAATTCAGCAATTTCTTCCTTCTCGCTAGGGTGTCTTTAACTTCCAGTAGAATTCAGTTAGAATTTAAAGTGGCACTCTTGATTCCATCTTCATAGCTGAATTTATTTCTACATATGCATACTGCTGCCTGCATGTGCATACAGTAATGTCTAGAATAATTTACTTCAGTGTTAATAATGACACTGTGAATTAAGAGGAATTTCACTTAATTTATTATACTTAATTTCCCATATTGGTTAATTTATTTATAATAAAGATAAATTACTGTTTGAAAAACAATGAAAAAATAAGATAACTTTCAAACTAAAGCAACTAAAGAGATGGATGAGCTGCTTAATGAGACAGAAACAAAAGATTCATTTTGTTTACTTTTATGGGAGGAATAGGAGGGCCTAGAGTTCAATTTTTGATATATTAAATCTTATACTGTGGCTGTAAGAAGGAAAGATCCAAGTAAAATTCCAAGACACAAAGAGGCAGAAGTTTCAGGCCCAATGGGAAGCCAAGGTCTGCCACAAGAGACCTGTGAACCCTAATCAGTGGATGGAACTGACTTCAACCATTTCCTTCAAAGGGACAACTGAATGAGACAATGAAAATGTATCAAAATAAGTTTATGATTATGATGGTTCACATTCACTCTCAACTTGGCAGGCTCTAGAATCTCTCAAGAGATGAGCCTATGAGCATGCCCGGGATGGGTTTTCTAGACTGTGTTCACTGACATTTAGACACTCTCTGTTTCCACAGGCTGGAGGTTCACTCATAAAAAGCAGACAGCCACCTGAACAGCAGCATTCATCTTTCTCTGCTCCCTAGCTGAAAAGATGAACAGTTGTCTCAAGCCCTGACACGACGCCTTTCCCAAAGACATTCTTTCCCAAAGAACGTGCCCTAAAACTGTGATCCAAACTCAATCCTTCTTCCCTTGTTTCTGTCAGGTATTTTGTTACAGCCAAGGAGAAAAATAATGAATTCAATTATTAAAACAAAACAAAACCAAAAAAAGCTGGAGAGATGGCACAGTAGTTAGAACTGAATGTGCTTGCGGAGGACCTGAACCAGCATACCCACAAACATCTGAAATTCCAGTGACAAGGGATTTGACACCCTCGGTTAGCCTCCTAATCCACTGCACACATACAGTGCTGCATACATTTATGCAGGTATATGCGCACAGGCACAACATAAATAATTTTTAATGTTTAAAAGAGCAAAACACTAATTAAAAAAAAAAAAACCTCTCAAAAAGCCCAATGTTAACATGCAAACTTTTTTCTACGTCCAGTACTTTTTCTGAGGACCAAGGCTGTAACGTAGGGAACTGCTCTGCAGTGTGGAGAAGACTGCTGGCCTGGCACCATTTGTTTCATAGTGAAACATTAAAGAGAATAGAGCCAGTCAAGTAGTAAAACACACAAAGCGTTATTTGTTAGCACTGTGACTATCAAGTTTTGACATGGTTCATATGTAATTCTCACATCCCTGTAAGGATGCTGATGTGAGTGTCCTGCGTTTTCCAGCTGTGTGACTGCAGCTCCACCTCACACACATATACAGTCATGAGGGCCCAGGATGCAGCCTATATGAAACCACCACTCTATCTATGAGCAAGGCCATGACAGTACACTTTCTAAAAGACAAATGACTCCATTTGTATAGTGTAAGAAAGGACACAGAAAGCACTTTATTGCAAGCTTTCATTTTTATATTCTTTTATATAACAACAAAATTCTAGGAATCTTTTTCCTTAAGAAGAGTTGGAGAAAATATCACAAAAAAAAAAAAAAATGTAAGGTAGCGGGAGAGGGTGAGGAAAAGGTGGGAACACAGCTTAGGAGGTGAAGCCACCAAGCCTGATTATCTGAGTTTCATCCAACAGAACCAATTCTCACAAACTGTCCCCTGACCCCCACACACGTCATAGTATATACGAACCCACGCACTAAATAAATACACATAAACTTTAAAAGAAATATACAGGAATGAAAAGGTATTTCCTTAGCATATAATAAGAAACTAAAATCTATCTACAATTACTCAAAATACAAAAGAATTCTATTCAAATTTTTTTTTCCAAATCTACAATCCCCTGTTTCTTCTTGCTATGTGATGTCCCAAATCAAAAGTTAAATTTTAATGTGAAAACGCGATTTGAGATAAAGGGCACAATATCCAAAAAACTTTGATAGCTGCAGCTATTTAACATCTTCTAACAAAGTCAAAAAACTTAGCTATTAATGAAATGAATAGCAAAAGTAAGAAGGTAAAGGTCTAGAGCTATGAAACACACTTCTAGCAGAGAGGACTATTTTTAGAAGGACATACTCTATATTTCTTAGGCAGCACATTATCACTGGCCTTCTTCAAGCCTAAGAAAGCTACTTTGCTACTACCAAGGAAAATCATGAACCCATCAAAACAAAAATTCTCTTTAATTCAGCTGCTTTTCAAGGCAGTCATGTTTTTGGTGGGAAGGCAAGCTACACATACACATATGAGCAAAATACTGAGGATTCCTCAGTCTCTGTATCCCTGCCAAATCTGCACTCTTCTCCTTTTGAACTAAATAAAATGTCAAGGAGTATGAACTTAACCAGGAAGTTTTCAGCCTCGAGGATTAATGATCAATACCATGGATCAAAATCTGGGTCTCAAGATCAACAATCCATGTCTAGTCCTGTTCAAGCCTTTATCATGGCAAGGGTCTAATCACAAACCAGCCGAGAGAATCTTCCTGTGACTCCTAAGAAAACTCAACGAAAACAGTCCTTGATGTGACCCTGTACACTGAGCAGAGGTGACAGCCACTAATGATACAGAACCTAAACTCAGACAAAGGCTCCAGTAGCAAAACCAAAATGCTATCACTTGCTTTTATTATAATGTGATAGAATGACAGGCTATCTTCAAATACGATCTTTAAATTAACCCATTCAAGCACGTTTTAGAAATATATAGAATCCGGCTGTGGAGATGGATCAGTGGATAAAGTGCTTGTTGTACAAACATGAGGAGCTGAGCCTGATCCCAAGTAGTCACACAGAGGTCAGGCACTCTCCTGCAGCCTCAGTGCAGTCAGACAGAGACAGGCAGATTCCCCAGATCTCACTGGCCAGCCAACCATCTCAACCTGTGAGGTTTAGGTCTACTGACAGATGCTGTCTCAATAAAGAAGAAAGCAACTGAGAAGGACATGTGACGTCAAACTTACCTCCGTATGCACATGTGCCACCTCCCACACACGTACATTCATAACATAGTCACACAAAATGTATAAAGAAAAAATGCTTAATTCCTGCAATTTGTAAAATATTCTTAAATTTAGTAGCTTACCTTAGACCAAAGATGTGTGATTGTTCATAATTCAGTAAAGAACGAATCTTAGCTTCAGAGTTCAAAATGATAAGCCTATCGATTATATCCTAAAAATAACAAAGAAACACTGAGATTCGACTTAACACAAGCTATTCAAATTGATTAAAGCAATAAATATCCATTTAGATTTGTGACTCTAAAATGTGGACTCACACTGGAACTAGCTGGAAGTCATGATGAGTTGGGGTCAGAGCTGCCCGGACCCATCCTAGAGTTTGTGAACTTAGTGGCCTATACGAGGCCTAAGCATTATGTGGCAAAAGTTTCTAAACTGAGTTCAATTTTCACCCCCAAAGAGAGAACCATAATGTATACACCTAACTTTCAAACTGGCAAGCAGACTGTATGTTCAATAAAATAATGATAGAAGTACCCGAAATATAAACTACTCTTATAAGCAAATATAAAATCTAAATATAAAATGTGAAGTAAAAACAGTCAATCTGAATGTTTTTAACTAGTAGCTATTTGAGACTATGTTAATAGCCTCCTTAGTGTGTGCAAATCATCATTTTACAGTCCTGGAAGAATACTGTCATCATCTAGGAAACAAATATAGATGAGTGACAAACAGATAATCAATAGATAAAAGGACAGTGAGATTGATCTACTTATGAGCAATTAAGGCATGAAGCCTACGGGTGACACTCCAGCATTAATATTCTTGACATTCTTCTATATTTCCCATTATGTAGCCAGACCTCAAAAACCACATCATTTTATCTGCTGATACAACCATCTCTAAAGTTTTAAAGCTTTTCTTTAAAACTTTGCCTGCTGCCTGGATGTCATGACCCATACATATAATCCCAGCACTCAAGAGGTTAAGGAAGAAGGATGCCTTGAGTGTGAAACTAGCCCGGGCTATATAGTGAGCTCTGGCCTACCCTGGACTACAGCGTGAGACTATGTCTCAATGAAAAGAAACGAAGACAAATAAACCAAGTATATTTGGTTTATAACTCAGAATATACTTGAAAAATACTAATGAAAGCACAGGAAAAAATGGACAGGGTAAACTAATCCTAGTAAGATCTAAGGCTCAGCACTCAAAAATGCATGTATTGGGCTAGGGAGATAGCACAGTTGGTAGAGTGTCTCCTAGCATGTACCAAGTCCTAGGTTTGATTCTCAACATGACAAAAACTAAGCGTGATGGCTCATGCCTATGATCCCTGAACTGGGGAGGTGGAGGCAATGGACCAGAAGTTGGGTTTATTGCAAGTTTAAGACCAGCCTGAGCTACAGAAGATCCCATCTCATTGATATATATGTATGGATGGATACTATCTCATATATACCATATATACTACCTTTTACATACATGTATACATTTACAAATTTAGGAATATTTTGTAGGATTGCATAACTAATATACATTTTGGTAAATTCTATTAAAATATTAATAAATAATGGAGAATAAAAAGACTCATTTTTTAAAAGGTCTATCACTGTAGTCTACAGTCTTCTAAGGTGGGCACATTTTGTTCCAATCACCATGTGATGAACTTAACTATATAACTCACATTCATATCCCCAGCTGCAAAGTCATATTCTCTACAGCTGCCCCATCACTGTCTTCATCAGTTAACACAGATCTGCATGGCTATCTAAATACAAAGCAAAGCATAGTGACAACTGGTAACACCTGGGAGAACTGAAGTTGTGGCTCTGAATCTAAGTAGTAGATTAGGATGAATAAAATGATCAGAAGAGATGGTATTACCAACAACAAGCTGATGGAAGGAAAGACTAAAGCAATCTATCAGTGATAATGTATTTGTTCGGAGAACAAATGTTATAGTAAATAATTTCTTCTTCAAAGAGGATTACATTGATGTATTGCCACCTAGGGAAGAAAGCGGGGCTCCTGGGAAGCCTTCCTTATGAAGAGCTTTGGTTTCTAAGCACCACAGCATGTCAAGCAAGGAATCAGCTTCTTAAATCAAATTGATCCAGCAGCAAGCCAATTTAAGCTCAGAACTGGCAAACAGTCTGCAGAAATCCTCTTCCAAAGGATACTGTCTTTGTTAAGAATATATTCAGTAAGCTAGCAGTCAGACCACAACCACAGCTAGATAAGCAAAGAGGAATTCTGTATAGGCCGGCTCACATGTGAGGGCCTGCTGTGTTCATGCTGTCCAGTGGTCACACTAATGCCATCTGACTGGTTCTATGTACTGAGTAGTACAGGGTAAGAAATGTGTCAATAAGGGTCCCTAAACCACACCTTCCGAGCGTAGATTGCTAGTGGTTACCCAATGATGAAAATAAATCTAGTCAACCTTCAGACTTTTCATAGTGGGGAGTAGAAGAAAAGGCCATGTCTCTGTATAGTAAGTTAAATACCACCTTCCTCAAAGTCTGTCAGTGCCCTAATCCCCAGAACTTCTAAATGTTGGTCTTTTTGAAAAAGGAGTATTTTCAGAGAGAATTAAGTTTGAAAATCTTGATCATCCAAAAGGGCCTTTAATCTAAGACATATGCTGAGAAGAAAAATACAGAGGAAGATTTCAGTTATGAAGAAGCTAGGGACAGGTAAAGATGGTTAGGCATGTAAAGAACTGGAGTCAGGCAGCAACAAGGCAAGAAATGCCTAAAACACATTTCTATGATTGGCAGGTAGATAATTAAAAGATAAGACAGCAGATAGAAGATGGATGCAGAGGGGCGGAGCCAAGATGGCGACTAGCACACACAGTTTCCGAGCTGTGGAAGAGATAAAGTTCTGAGTTGATGAGTGGAAGAACTTCTGAAGCCAGGGAAACAACGGAGAGACTTTCTAAACAACAGGGAACATCGCAGGAGGTGAAAACCTTGGTCTCAGGTCACCCAGGGACTTGTTTGGGGAAGGTGAGAAACGATCCTTTGATCTCTCTGCACTCCCCTCCCCCAGACCTCCCTCCTCCTCAGCACAGCGGACTCGCCTTTCTCAGCGCAGACCTAACTGCCTGGGGCCTGCAGCCACTGAGGTGGAGCCCCAAGCCCTTTATCGGCAAAGGCCAGCAGTACTGTGTCTCGGAGCCCCAGATTCACGCGTGGCGGCTGCACCATCCTCCCAGGGCCCGAGTCTGCTAGACGCCATACTAGCTCTGCAGGAGCGCCATCACTGACGGTACGGCCCGCCCAATCCCACAGTGACAGAGAATACGCTATATACTCACCAAAACCAGACAGAAACGCCATACAAGCTAGACACACCAGGCACTGAGCCTCCGAAGCTTCGAGAGCACAGTAAAGAGACCCCAGGACTTCCCAGAAAGCATCTGGACTAGCAACCCAGTCTCCAGTTACAGCGGGACTTTCTAACCTGGCGGCGGAGCAGCACTGAGCTGGCGGGGCACATCAGCCCTCCAGTTTAAGACTAACCAGGGCCAAACCAGAGAACAGAAAGGCTGATTACCCCGATTCCCACTGACGTGACCACCCTGAAATCTCCAGCTGCAGCAAGACCTCATAACCTGGCAGTGACAGCAGCACGGAACTGGCGGAGCACATCAAAGGAGCAGGGCCAAACCAGAGAGCAGACAGCCCAGATACGCCGATCTCTGCCAAGTGTCCTGCCTGTAAGTACAGCTAGTCCTCAGCTAGTCCTCTCAACTTCCTGAAGAATTCTCCAGACTCGAGAGAGAGACAGTAGCAGTCTGATCGGCAGAATCCAAAAACAAACAGGGAAGGTCTCAGATAAGCCAATGGCCAGGGGTAGGCGAAAGAACATTTCCAACATAAATCAGGACATCATGACTTCACCAGCAAACCCCAAAATCGATGGATACTCCAATTCATCAGAAGCACAGGAAAATGACCTTAAAGCCATGCTTGCTCAATTATTTGAGGCTCATAAGGAGGAAATGAACAAATCTTTCAAAGAGTTGGCCAGTCAATTGGAGGTAAAGAAAGAAGAAATAGACAAAACCCTTAAAGAAACACAGGCAAACATAGCCAAACAAATAGAGGCACAAGTAGAGAAAAAATTAGTGGCATACAAAAAGGAAATGAACAAAGAAATAGAGTCCATCGTAGAGAGACAGAAATCCAAATTCAAACACATGAAAGAAATGGTGCAAGGCATGAAAACAGAATTAGAATCAATAAAGAAAACACAAAATGAGAAAACTCTTGAGCTGGAGAACTTGGAGAAAAGATCAGGAACCACAAAAATAAGCATCACCAACAGAATACAAGAGATGGAAGAGAGAATCTCTGGAGCTGAAGACACACTTGCAGAAATTGATACTTCTCTCAAAGAAAAAGTAAAATCAGAAAAATTCCAATCACAAAATATCCAAGAAATCAAGGATGCTATGAAAAGACAAAAACTAAGAATAATAGGAATTGATGAAAAAGAAGACTCCAGGCTCCAAGGTCCAGAAAATATTTTCAAAAAAATCATAGAAGAAAATTTTCCCAACTTAAAGAAAGAGATGTCCATAAATATACAAGAGGCCTACAGAACACCAAATAGACTAGACCAGAAAAGAAACACATCACGTCACATCATAGTCAAAACACTAAATCTACAGAACAAAGAAAAGATATTAAAAGCAGCAAGGGAAAAAGGCCAAGTAAAATATGAAGGTAGACCTATCAGAATCACACCAGACTTCTCATCAGAAACTATGAAAGCCAGAAGGGCCTGGGCAAGCATCATGGAGACTCTAAGAGATCACAAATGTCAACCGAGACTACTATACCCTGCAAAGCTTTCAATCAACATAGATGGAGAAAACAAAATATTCCATGACAAAACTAAATTTACGCAATATCTATACAGCAAACCAACCCTACAGAAGATACTAGAAGGAAAACTCCAATCCAAAGAAAACGAATTCACCCAAGAAAACAGGGCATACAGATAATGTCCCAACAAAAATGAAAAGAAAACAAGCAATGAAACAAGGTAAGATCATCGACTCCATTACAAAAGGAACTAACATGCATTGGTCAATATTATCTATCAATATTAATGGACTCAACTCACCAATAAAAAGACACAGGCTAACAGAATGGTTACGGAAACAGGACCCAACATTCTGTTGCATCCAAG